AGGGACACAGTGAAGCTAAATTGAATGGAGCTATTTGCTGGATGGACCAGTCTCCAGTCTTTTGATAGCTAGGGATTCCGAATCAACTTTCAAGTTCAATGGCTTGCCTCTCCAGAGAGAAAATGTCTGGAAAGAAGAGATAGGGATTGTAAAGGTTTCCCTGATTTCATGCCAACAATGTGTCCACTGATGCGGCAGTGAGCAGTTTGAGATCCCAGGCTTTATTTGCTAACTCCATTGAATTGTGATCTGTCCAGTACACAGAGAGGTGCATTTGAAGCATGTAGTTATTGATTTAAACGCATGTCACGGTCTTACCATTAAAATGAATGAGGCGTTTCTCAACCCCTTTTAGAAGGGACGATTTGCACTTAAAGCTTGGCCTAAATTGGGTTAACCTGAGATGCCACCCTTTTCTTAAAGACACCCCCAATGCAATTTCAGGACACTAGAAATTTTCTGGTCATTTTTTTAAATGTTACATCTAAGTTGAATAAACCCTTAATCCCTTAGCTGATACATTGTATCTGTGAGGCAAAAATGCAAATGTTGCTAATGGAAAACTGTTGCTCATTTTGTATTGTATGCTAGTTCTTAGATATTTAGGTGCCGAAAAATCAAGGTACTCCAACGCTCAGCTTGCTTTTGGGCTATTTTAAATGCTTCAAGTATGAAATGATGACAAACATGTACAAAGAAAGAACAGTAAACATCCAACAGATTTACTCATCCAGAATATTTTTGTATTGCCGCCCTGAAGTCAGATGCTATATATTGAGGTCAGGGGAATGCAGTGTTGTTTTCCACACCTCAAAGGAGGATCTGACCCTGGAATGTCTTGAAAAATTGTCTTGGAAAGGTTTCAAAGATTGTACAATGCAAATTTGTGTATTAACACCATCGAACATTTATCTTTCTTTTTCATTTTAAAATTACAAGCACACATGTGTACTGGTATATAAAGGAAAACAATTATTCACTGCATTGCAGGAATATTGACTAGCAAGAAAATGGTCTGACTCAGGATGGTACGATGTAGCAAAATTGTATACAAAAAAAACTATAATTCCCATGGCACTATGACATTACTCCTTACTAACATATGGTATATATCAACCACAATGCTAAGTAAAAACATAATGGACAATTATCTATGTGTGGAATTTGATTATAACATATACATACCCTAACCTTCCTCATAATTACCATTTCTATTATTAAACCACCATTTAGGGGATGATATAATGTCCATTATACATGACAGACCACCAATGATCATGATGATACTACATGTAGTATCATCAAGTGATAAAGGGATAGCTGTGAGTCCAGTCTTATTAGCATTAGTCCAAGTCCAATGAAAACGACCATTCAAGTATCTGAATACAAATCTTTACTTACAACAGTTGTTTTGCAAGAGCCAAAATTTTGATGACCGTCTTTGTCGGGGCAATTACATTGTATGACTGGTTCACTGTGCAATGGAGCTAGGTGTTACTGGTTCACTGTGCACTGAAGCTAGGTGTTACTGCTAACAAATGAATGCAGTTCCAAAATTTTAATGTAATTTAAGGCCACACCAATTTAATTTGTTGGTTCTCGGATTTTTTCAGAAAAAATATGAAGCGACAGGGCGAAAAAAAATAAAATAAAAACAGGTCTAGGCATCCTATTATAGGCTTAAATGCTACAAAATGAGCCATGAAGTCAACACAAAAGGACTGGGTTAAAATTTAAACATTGAATTTTGAACTTTTAATCAAACCACTGCAATGATAGATGGGAAAACTGTAACAACTAGGAAAAAAAGGACTTTCCTCTACTGTTGGGGGGGCAAAACATGAGCATTTTTCAGTTGATTCAGGACCAGAATCAATTTTTTTTTTTTTGCAAATCAGAAAAAAACGAAGAGGCGAATCCGAGAACCAACAAATTAAATTGGTGTGGCCTAAGCAAACAATAAAACAGACACACTTAAGCTACCAGGCACATATCAGTTTCACTTTGGACTGAAACTCTGCTGTATTCAAATAGCTTAACGGACACAAAAACCAACAGACAAACATAGCATAGGTGGGGTCATGTGGCGTAACGGCAGAGTACTCAACTCAGAACCAAGAGTCCTGACATGCCACCGATCTTGTGCACTTTACACGACTTTCCTAACTTAACTCAGGTGAAAATGAGAATTACTGTTACAGTAATTGTATTCAGATAACCAACAGACACACAAGCAAAAACTGACCAGTTTGACTTCAGACAAGAATTCTCGCCCTTTCCTCTCCATCACTGTGAAGGCCTCCCGAACCTCCTTCCACTGGTCATCATGACGATGGATGGCGATCTCCAGGCCCTTGGTACCGTCTGTCGGCGTCCTCTTCAGCAGCTCATCCAGGTCATCCATCTCATTCGCCAGCTTGGGGGAAGAACGAAGGAACGAGAGAATGAATGGATGGATGGATGGATTAAACTGTTTTACATAATCTGCTTTAAGAGCTCAGTGACACCTATCTCTGTCATTAACCAGCTGGGAGTGAATGAAGGAACGACAGATTGAATGGATGGATGGATGGATGGATGAATGGATGAATGAATGAATGAATGAATGAATGAATGAATGAATGAATGAATGAATGAATG